ATCCTTCTTCTGTCCTTTTCGAGCGGCTTGCCCCTTTGTTTCAATACCTCTAGTGGGTTTCAAGCCGTTCGCTTCTTCTTCTGAAATTCTCTAGTTGCTTTCGAGTGGTAGCGGTTTGCTCCTTGTTTTCCAATTTTCTAGTCTCAATCGAAACGCGCCAGTCTCTTTCGAGCGGTTTGCTCGTTCTCTTGGAAATATCTAGTTCCTTTCGAACGGTTTGTTTGTTCTCAAAGTCTCTAGTCACTCTAGTCACTTTCGAGCGTTGTGCTCCTTGTTCTGAAATTCTCTACTTCCTTTTGAGCGGCTTGCTTCTTTGTCAGTATTTCTAGTCTTTTTCAAGCGGTTTGATCCTTCTTCTGTCTTTTTTGAGCGGTTTGCTCCTTTGTTTTCAATACCTTCAGTCTCTTTCAAGCGGCTTGCTCCTTCTTCTGAAACTCTCTAGTTCCGTTTAAGCGGTAGCGGTTTCCTCCTTGTTTTCCAAATTTCTAGTCTCCTTCGAAGTGCTCTAGTCTGTTTCGAGCGGTTTGCTCCTTGTGCTGACATTCTCTAATTCCTTTCGAGCTGTTTTCTCCGTGTCTTCAAATTCTGAGGTTTCTTTCGAGATTCCCTAGTTTTTGTTGAGCGGTTTGCTCCTGCTTCTGAACTTCTCGAGTTCCTTTCGAGCGGTTTGCTCCTTTTTTCAATTTATATAGTCTCTTTCCAACTTCTCTAGTTTCTTTGGAGAGGGTTCTCTCCTTCTTCTGAAATTCTCCAGTTTCTCTAGCCTCTGTCGAGCGGTTTGCTCTTTGTATTGAAATTCTCTAGTCCCTCTCGAAATTCTCTAGTCTCTTGCGAGTGGTTTGGTGCTTCTTCCGAAATTCTTACGTTCCTTTCGGGCGTTCTGCTCCTTGCTCTGACATTCTCTAGTTCTTTCGAGCGGTTTGCGCCTTGATTCATTTTTCTAGTCTTTGTCGAAATTCCCCAGTCTCTTTCGATTCGTCAAGCGAATTGCTCCTTGTTTTCAATTTCCCTAGTCTCCTGCGAGCGGTTTGCTCCTTCTTCTGAAATTCTCTAGTTCCTTTTGAGCGAAGTGCTCCCTGCTTGCAAATTCTCTGGTCCCTTTCCAAATTTTCAAGTCTCTTTCGATTGGCTCCTTGCTCTGAAAATCTCAAGTTCCTTTCGAGCGGTTTCCTCCTTGTTTTCCAATTTCTCGAGCCTCTTGCGAGCGTTTTGCTCCTTCTGTTGAAATCTTTCAGTTCATTTTCCATCGGTTCGAAACACCGTTTTCAAATTCTCCAGTCTCTTTCGAGCGGCGTGCCCCATGTTCTGAAATTCTTTAGTTCCTCTCGAGCGGTGTGCGGTTTGTTTTCACGTTCTCTAGTCTCTATAATCTCTATCGAAATTCTCTAGTCTCTTTCATTTGCTGCTTCTCTGAAATCTCTAGTTCCTTTCGAGCGGTTTGCTCCTTGTTTTCAACTTCTGAACTCTCTCTCGAAATTCGCTAGTCTGTTTCAAGCGGCTTGCTGCTTCCTCTGAAGTTCTCTAGTACATTTCGAGCAATTAGCTCCTTGTTTTCAATTTCTCAAATCTCTTTCGATTTTTTCTGGCTTCTTTTGGGCGATTTGCTCCTTGTTTTGATATGGTCCTGTCGAGCGGTTTGAATTCAGTTCCTTTCGAGCAGTCTGCTCCCTTTTTTTTCACGTTTTCTATGTCTGTCGAAATTCTCCAAGTCTCTTTCGAGCGTTGTAATCCGTGTTCCAAAATTCTATAGTTCCTTTCGAGCGGTTTGCTCCTTGTTCTCAGCTCTTCAAGTCTCTTTCGAAATTCTCTAGTCTGTTTCGAAAAATTTGCTCCTTCTCTTGGAATTGTCTGGTTCCTTTCGAACGGTTTGCTCCCTGTTCTCAAACTCTCTAGTCTCTTTCGTACGCTGTGCTCTTCGTTCTGAAATTCTCTAGTTCCTTTCGAGCGGTCTGCTTCTTTGTCAGTATCTCTAGTCTTTTTCAAGCCGTTTGATCCTTCTTCTGTCCTTGTCGAGCGG